GGACTCTCAAAGGGCCAATGCATTACACTCTAATAATATTTCTTACCACCAAAGTGGCCTAATAGGTCAAGGTAGTCATAGTGGGCCCAACTAAAATATTCGAAGCACACTTAATCTTGTGATATACTTGTTACAACAAAATATTTTTAACCCAAAATTAATCTTCCTTGACCGCCTATCAAGATTCAGGAAAATCGCAAAATTAATTCTCGCATCCGATTTCTGTATTTATCAGTTGAATTATTTTATGGCATTTATATAGAAATATATTCGTTTTTATTTTTTTCTATAACCTACACTACGTGCGTTGGAAGGGTATATTAAAATTGTGTGTGGATGTATACCGAGAAACGCTTGAGATGGACCCATCTTTTATTATATACCGATCGATTGAGAATAAATTTCTGAATGGATTTAAGCTTGACCTGCCCGTCCGTCCTGTATTTTTGTTATCAACCTACAAGTCGCAATTTTTGAGACCGCAATTGAAAATGGTTTGCATCGGACTGCGTCTTCGTATATATGAATAACTGTATTAAACAAAGTATTGTGGGACATTTAATGGTTAGCCGTAGCCCACCATAATGTTTTCACTTATCGTTTCTTTAATGCCGGCAATGAAGCACAAGAACCAAGTTTGTTTCTTGCTGCTGTTGTAAACCCCATCGCAAATTCCCCATCGCACTGATTATGTTTGATAGTTCTTCGATTGGAAGGCACATGAGAAAAATATCGTCTACGTTTTGCTTTTGCGATTTGATTCTGATGGAAGTCACAGCATTTCTATTAATCTCAATTATTTTCAATAATTCACACAAGATTGTAAGCAAATTTGTGTGAAATTATAAGTGGGGATTGAGTGGACATAAAGATTTCGAAACTTATTAGAGAATAAACGCAATTTATCAGATCTGTATAGCGTGTGCCAGACATGGAATGATAAAATTATTATTTTAGTTCTCTCATCTAACTCCCCATTAGTGAAAGTTTAAATCGATTTTTTTATTAAATTTTGTGTGACACTAAAATACGTTTATTAAATTTTATAAATAATTTCACTTTACTTTTAATATAATAAACATTTTACATATATTATGCATAGATCAAATGAAAAGAGGGGCAGTGGGTTAGCAAGCAACGGGATAAATATGTTATTGAAATGGTTCGAATGTAAGAAGAAAATAGAAGAAAATCGAGAAATCAATGCAATATTTTATAGCGAATCTCACATTTGTGTCTGAAAGTCAGCATTGAACAGTTTAATGCCTAACAAGTTTCATTGCGAGTTAGATTTAAACAAAATTGAGTTTTTAGTTTATAGAATTTTTGCATTTGAGTGTAAGGCTCAAGTCAAGTTGAGTTTTGCTCTAAAAGATGCTGTACCGCATGAATGAATGTTCATGTGTGACGATCTCCTTAGAACAAATGCATGCAAGCATGTGCAACTTTAGACGTTGGTTTCGAAAAATGCATGCGCGGAAAATACCGGTCAGTTGATAAGAAAAACCGCTTACTACTGGGAAAAACATGCAATTCTCGTTTCACTACATATTACAGTACACAGACACAGACAAAGATACACACACACATACACACATACATACACACACCATTAGTAGTATAATATTCTATAAGAATTATTTATGGAGCATTAAATTGTGTTCTAATTTAACGGATATCTTGGCTAAACTACTACTATATGTATATACATGTACATATATATATATATATATATAGTTTTCTAATAACGATAGCAAATAAATATAACATGTATTCAAATCAATGAAAACTTCATAAATTTTAAGGCCTGAAATTAAGCCAAAGACGTATGCTGACCAAACCTTAGAAAGATTCATGTGCACTCTTCATCAGCGTAAGATATCGGAAAGACCTTGTGGCATTTAGGCCATTTAGATATAGTATCGTTTGCTACTACTCACAACGGCTTATGACCGTCTGTGCATTGAAGATTGAGCCGCACTTGACGACTTAATTCTAGTTTCTACCAAATCGCAAATGAACAAGAGATTAGATCGAGTTTAACCGTCCAATCGTCCATATCGAATCGATAATAAGCAAAATAGTTGTTATTGTTGAGGAAGAAATACTTCGTTAAAAGCTTTTTTTTTTTTTTCTTTGTATATCTCCTTGGTATGTTCATATAAAGGGCTTTGTAAACGTTTTCTTCTTAGCAAAGAATATCATTGGGCCTGCAATGAAACATAAAATTTTATGCAAAGCTTCCATCCACTCGAGATCCTGTAATTTACTTTACTTAAGAATCCTTAAAACCATATGTTTTTTTAAAAGTGTCACTGTCCATCAACCTTAACTACCTATACGAAAAATAACGGGCAGTTAATTGATGCTTAAACCCATACTCAGTTAGGATTAAAAATCAGATGATAGAAGTGACACTTACTACTTAAGAAAAAGTTAAGAGCTATTCTCAACAGGTCAGATGCAATTTGTATAAAGATATTTACTAAATACAGATTTAATTGGATCACTTGAAGATAAAATTATTTAGATACGAGAATAAGTGTTAAATAATAAATCGCAGAACGATGACGCAGATCTCTACACAACGTGTGGTACATGAAATTTGTTCATATGTATGCAACGCGGAAAACAAGTTGTTATAGTTTGCTATACCGAACAACCCGAAACAATTTTCCGAACTATTTTCTGAGCCGTTTCATATACTAAAGCACTATTTCACTATGGAACGTCTGTCCGATGTACAGGTTGTTTTTGTCGAGCTATTTTTATGCACTCTGCGATCATGTTTAAATCTGAAGAGGAATTCTTTTGAGAATTGATTCGATGACACTATTTTTACGACCACGCCCCACATAAAACAGCATGTTGAAACAGCATGAGTTATTTAATAATAAGCATTGTCTGTGGGTTTTTGGGAAAAATCACGACGAATTATAACCATAAGCAACTTGTTGGCATATATACTTATGCCAAAAAGAAGACGTCAACGTTTTCGAAAACCATTCAATATGCTAAGTTAGAAAGCGATGTACCTCCGAAATTTGTGTCCCCCTTTCTCTCTCTCTCTCTCTCTCTCTCTCTCTCTCTTTCACGGTTAGATACGAATATAATAGGAAAGCAAGAGGAAAAAGAAATTTTTCTGCTGCCCACACAACACTGAAGAAAAAAAATAGCTTAAGATGCTTTAAGATGTTGCGTTCAGAAACCCGTACATAGATAGAGCAAGATTTGTTCAAGTTAGTAAAAAGCGTGCATACAATGTAGTGAAGTAAAGTCAATTAAGTTTACGCACTATTACCGTTAGATGGTAGCGGTCTGACAGTATCTATTAACGAAATTTCTTAATGGCTTGTCCAAAGGTCTTCTAAAGGCCTCCTAGTAAAATGAAAAGCGTTAGAATACGTCGTCATTTATCTGATCGCCTAACATTTCATTACATTATCTTGCATATTTATTCCCTCGAAATTCCTATAAAGGATAAAAACAAAGTGGGAGAAGAACGCATCGTATCACTCAATAAGTCGTCGGTCTGGGACGATACCTGTCAAAATTTCATGATATCGTGATAACTAGTTTGCAATCTGCATTTGTTTTAGTAATGCCACTTTCTTATTATTGTTATTATTGTTATTATTGTTATTATTGTTATGAGTTTAGCCGGAGCGATTGAATCGAAGAGAATCTTAAAGGACTAACGTCTAAAGGCTACCGGCTTTATTAAAATATCTACTGCGCTTGCGGTTTGAACACACGACTTTTGAATTGTTAGTCGAGACACTTTGATCCCCCTTTCTCATTTTCAAACAATAGAAAAATCTGAAGCTCCTTTCTTGCTTTTTAATGAATAAATAAAGTACGTTCCTAATCAGCATTGGCTTCAAGGGGATTATGGCGACTTTTGTCTGTCGAAAAAATAAATTTATAGCTTCTTTGGTAATATCTCGGATCGTCTATGATCGCCCATCATCGACAATGCAAAAGTGCAAAAACCGCTTTGGAAGACCGAAAAGTAAATTTAAATGCCTGAGACCGAAAAAATGATGTCACTGAAACAACTGTGACTAGTTAGCGAATGACCGAAATGTCATGAAATTCTGACATTCTTCGAAATGTTGTCTATCCAGACATCATACGGGTCTGTCAACAGCGATGCCGTCTGCCTGCCTGACAGCATATAGCAGAAGACTTATTGAGTGATGTGTCATTCCCAGTAACTGCTTAGCGACAAAATGAATATTTTTCTTATTGTGTTATGCTTATCTATCTAGTACAAAAGTCTTGAAATAGCCGTACGCAAAAGATCTTAACGTTAAGGCTTCAACTTCCACAGAATGCTCCAGTTATAAGCCATTTTATGCTGCTTACATCGAAGGCACCATGCTCGCAACCTGCTAGTCTTGGTTTTGGAACCAACGCAGTGCTACTATCTGTGAAAGAATCTAAAGGCTGATTGCAGCGCCCAAGTAAGTCAAGTAAGTAGGTAAGTAAGTATGTACGTAGTGAAGTAAAGGCCGCAGACTTAACCCTTGCAAAAGTTCCTTAGAAGCGTAAGTTTATTTGCGCATCCGCAACCTTTTCCTAAGTTCAACACGTTTTTCAAGTTACGTTCACACAAATCGTAATTCCCTTTATATTTCTTAACGGCTTCGATGTAAATATCAACACGCGACTTTACATATTCTGCACATCCTATGCGAGTAACTGTTTGCAAGATTGTTTACAAAAGATATCTACTACAAAATTCATCACAGCTTCTTCACACTTACAAGATGTTGCTTTTGTGCTTTGGTAGCCTGGTAGGAAATGCTTCAAAATAATGAAAACATATCTTAAATGAAATCATGATAGCATTTATGATACGAGATATATTCGCAAACGTTTAATAATGGATTTATGTTCACATGCATGTATTTTATTGATTCACTTGTAATTAATAAAATTTTAATTCGTGATTAAATGAGATTTTCTGTTTTTTAACAACTGAAGTGAAGACTTACCAAATATCTGGTGATGCTGCTACTAATAATTGCACGCAATCTAAACAACCTCGCGCTGCTGCATAATGCAACGCTAATGCGCCTCCATTAGGCCTTTCTATCGATGAAATACTGCCCGAGTGCATTGATGAATCATATGAATCCGTTTGATGTGAATGCATTTTGTTTTTGTGATTATTATAGTAACGCATAAAATTTCCAGTATCTACTTGTGACGCATTATCGCTAGTTGTTCTAAAATTGAAAGCAAATTTGCAATTGTGCGATTAAAATATAAACTCATTTCAAAACTGCATTTTACATTCTTTAACCCATAAATCAGTTAGTTAGTTCTCTATGACTTAACGGAATACATTTTAAAATATTCTCGACTAATCTTTTTTTTTCCGGATACCATCTTTTTCTCTCTCAAATGCTTGCTTTCCATTAAAGTTAACCAAAAGCATTTACGTGAAATTTTTATGTTCTATCCTAAGAAAAAGGCGGACTGAATACGTGATACAATTTAGGAACCAATTTAGTGTGTGTGGATTGTCTAATACATGTTTCTCACTACTCGAAACATGCTGACTTAAATGATATCCTAAAATTCTTTGCTGGTAAATATACTGTGATTGGAAATTAACTAGATAAAGTTTATTCAAGCATTGGCAAAAGAACTTCGCTCCCAATGCATTGCCTCTTCGAGGTCACTTCAGCGAGCAATCGGACCCACATGATTGCACAGTCGTCCTATTTGCCTGATTTGGCTCCGACTCTTTGACTTTCGACTCTTCCCGAAATCAATAAAACCCTTCCAGGAGAATTGGTTTTGACTCAATTGAAAAGATAAAATGGATTCGAAATTCGGCCTTTTTTAAATGCGCATAACGAATTAATTTAACGTAACTTAAATTGCAAATTCTTATCCGCTTTTTATCTGGCTACTAAACCTTTTCATTCAACAGAGTTATCTAAATCTTTGTCATCGTATTTATAAGTCCGCCTGGTAGCTGTAGTTTTTCAATCGAATTCTTCTGACCTCACAAAAGGAGCAAAAGGAGCAAATCAGATGTGTATCCATCACATCGTTAATTGGTCCTATCAATCAATCACCCCAGTCCCAGTAAAACGTTATATTTATATCCAAATTTTGTTCGACATTCGTTTTCACTTTAATTACACCGACGATATTAACTCCTTGTGAAATTCGCAACCGAATAAGAGTGCCAGTTATTCCATATATCTTGAAAATTTGTATATATTATATACATACATACATCAAGTCACATGCGTACCAATCCAGTCGCTCTGTTGGAGAAAATCGATTACTTTCCACTTAATATTTTCACTTGAGTATATGTGAAACTATGAAAATCTTGAACAATTTACTTTTAAGTACCGAAAGCTAGGGATAAGAAGAACATAAAGACATATTTCAATCATATAGTGAGAAGAACTGCTCCTTCCAATTAGGAATTTTTACGATTTCTGTTCTCAAATTATGCCATTATAAAAGAAAAAACAACAACAACAATTGTTTTATTTCACTTGGAAACTTAATAAAAATTGTACCTATTCTTAGGCTGTTCAAAACGTTGAGTCGATGTAAAGATCACCGTCCACGGTCACAAATCTAACTTATATGCTCATATCTCACTCATACGTATACTGATCATTGATTGGGGAAAAAAATGACATTTTAAAGTATGCATTTAATTATCAAGACTATCTAAATTTTCAATAGAAAAAGGGCTTCTATTGATAAAATGATGCCTGACAAAAAAATACCTTCATCATCATTGAATTGTTTGAGGTATTGCTACTTGCTGCTTACATTGAACAATTCAATTGACTAATACAATAACCAGATGCGAGTTTTGATTTTCCAATTGTTCTACATCTTTTCAGTTGGCAGCGGAGAGTTACTTTGCGTTAAGAGATAGTAGGAGTCAGTTTTCTCCAAATTTTGTGGTGGGGCGCATCATGTGATTCTGGCAGATCAAGCTGGTGACAAGGACTATCATTAGAGCGAAGCTAATAGCCTAATGTATTTTCCTAATGTATTGGTTGTTTGAGAAACGCAACTCAGGTCGTTCGCGTCATTGAACTTCAAGTGACTTCTAACTATTCGCGAACATCGGTCTGCTTCCTGAAGGGCTAAAACCGAATGGGAAAATATACTTTTTAGATAAAAGTAAAAAAGCGTACATTCTCACTAACTATTGATAATATTAGCATGAAATTCGATTCAAAAGTTAGTTCTTAACATGTTAACAACCTAAGACGAATACTTTCTTGCCTTCGTCAAGCAACAAGAAGCATCTACCCGCAATCAAATTGAACAAATTACCTTACACTTGGAATAACACAATTCGCCCCTAAGCAAATATACGCTTTAAGTACATTAGTTCTTCTTTTATTGTAAATTATATGAACAATGCACAACATTTCATACAAAATTTCATACCTCCTAACATGCTGCACATACGACAAGTTGATTTCTCAAACATTTAGTGCTGTTTATTATTTCAGCCCAAAAAGCTGCAATAATTATTTTTATGAATTTAAACTTTTCATTTAATTAAGGCAAAGCGTATTTTAAAAGCTTATAAAACAAGTTTAATTTTTGAAATTTACGAAAATTTTGTTTTGTAAAGGGAAGACGCAGAAACACATCAAAGCAGAAATTTACTTGTAAATGTATCAAGATTTATTTTTTCAATACCAATATAATTATATGTCACCTAACTTCAAAAAATGCAAACAGTTAACGTTTTTTTGGGGAAGCTTCGTTAGCTACGGACTATTACATTGAAGCCAATAAGGTGGACTCTGCTTCGAACTTCACAAATTTGAGAGCTATACTTGATTCTAAACTGAATTTTAGGTTGCAGGTCGAAGCATGTGTTAACAAGCGAAAGCACTGCTGGGGTTCATTAGACAGTGGTCGTACGCATTCAACGATCCTTCGCATCGCCTATACATATATATGCATTCAAATTTTTGTAGATTTATCTGTTGCAGTTTATGAGTAATTATCCTTTATTCCATTTCCCATTCCCCTATTTCATTTTTCTCGACAAACAGACGTGTTGTCAGTTCACGTGGTAAAGTGAAATGTGAATTCTTGACCAGCTTCAAGTTTGGAATGCACCTAAACTTGTCCGCATGTTCGTCTGTCCACCTGCCTGCCTGCACAACTTGTAACTGCGTGGTATTTGTGCTAAATTGGCAAAATAGTTTGAAAGTGACTCAAACTTTTCAAAGGATGCGGTCATAACGCCCACACGCTTATGCGACAAGAATTTTTATTTTGAAAATGATAAAAATCACCTGCGCCCGCTTCATATTATAGGGCATTAAGAATTCGTTTTTTTTCCTTTTTTAGTACATTTGAGGGTAACGGTGATGGGTATAAAAGATTCGGACACGACCAAATATATTTTTGTGTTACTTGTTTATATTTTGCAATATTACAGTAATATTACCGCCTGCTTACGTGTGATATCCAGTAGAAATAAGTGGAGATTCATTCGATCTTGCGATCAACATCTTTGAAGAATATTTGTACGCTATTTGACAGGAATTTTCATGTGATAATAAAAGGGAATGTAGTACGAATTGTGGTCCAATCTGATTAATTTTAGAAAAAGACGGATTTTAATTAGGAACAAATTTAGACAAAAGCGAGGTATATAATTTTAGCATTTTAAGCTAATAATGACCTGACCCACACTTAGATTTGTTGAATTTTGATTTAACTGATTGATGTTGACGAGAATAAATTTGAAATGAAGTTCGCTTTTCTCAGCAAAGGCTTGAAGTGCCAATTGTGGATTCAATAGAGATCGAGACAGGCAAACGTGATTAATTTCACTCTGCTATACAATCTAAACAAATATGGATACACTTGTGAGGAATACAATACACACATATATCGACACGTAACACTTTGCGAGGAGCACAATATATATATGGACACGTAACAAATGTTTAATAGATCTAAGATACCGTCTGCGTTGAATATCTAATAATGGTTTAAATGCAATTGAAAGTTGTAGTGAAATGGGAAAAGACACAATTTCTGGACAAAGGGACAATTTAGTCATTACTGTCAGCAGTATCGTAACTAAAAGTTTTCTTCTTCTTCATGTTCTTCTTGTTCTAAAGCGCAGCAAATCAAAGACAAATGATACGGAATAAAGATGTTTAAGATTATTTTTGGAAGTAATTAGGCTTCAGAAGGATTGCCGTGCTTGTAATATTTCGATCAAAAAGTATTCCTCATAAAAAATCAATTTGTAGATTATTTCAGCAGGTTTTGGAATTGTGAACAAAGCTTGGACCTACTGCGATGATCCCGAAATACATTGCGACAATAAGGGGTATTAGTGAAATAAACTTTGTGAAACAGTTTTTGTCGTGAACCTTGACAGAGTTGTGAAAAACGAGCGAAATGCATCAGTTTTGTAGAAGGCGAAAGGTAAACTTAACGTAGAAAGAATCTCCTTAACCCAGTCTAACAAAAATAAAATTACTAAAGTAAGCGATTTTGTTCCATCATTTTTCTCATCATTCTAGTCTGTTCGTTTTTTAACAATTAAAGCCGTCACAAGCAAACGAAGATTTTGAATAGCTTTTAAAATTCGACTTTAGAATTCCAATTTTAGGAGGTTAGGATTAGACATTAGACTCCACGTTCGACTCGTAATACTCAAAGTTACGCATCAGACATTAGATAGATCCTTAATCAATGTAAGATTAGAAAGTCGACTGCTTATCCGTCCAACTGCTTGCCGGCTGCCTGCTATTTATTGCTGATATTTTACTTTTTCCCAATTCTCCCAAAATTGATAATACTTTGAAATCCATAATATATGTTGACTTAAAGTACATGGCTTGTACTTGTCAGGACATTTACGTATGGTGTAACTAAAACTTCGATCGATTACGGATATTAATCTGCAACTTGGTACAAATATTTCGTAGGGTAGTCCTATCTAACCTAGGTGTAAGAACAAGAAATAAAATCTTTATGGTTGACCAAGATCGACCACAACATTGCCTAGTACAATTCTTCACTTATTTTCATCATCAGGTATGATGTTAAGATTTACTTTTCGCGGGAAGCCTGGTATAGAAAAAAATCTTAAAACATGAACCGACATATAACAATTATACCAAAGTTGATTTTCTTGTCAAAGAATCTATTATTCTTTCCCTATTTCGATCATAGAATACCAAAAA